GACTCCACGACTGTCTACGACTTCTATGTAGAGGACCCTTAACTACATGCAAAGACACATGTGGCCGCCGACTTCAGGGGATCGATTCTGTATCTTGAAACAAGGTGAAAATTACAAAAGTGAGTGAATTTACTAGAATACTCATAATTTCATTGGTCAATACCTAGTAAATTTGCTCACTTTTGTAATTTTCACCTTGTTTGAAGATACAGAATCGACCCCCTGTTGTGTCTTACTTGTCAGAATGCAAAAGGAACATGCACTCAACTAATGCGGGATCTACAATAGAAGTCGTAACAGTCGTAGGGTCTTAAGTCGTAGAAAATTATCTAGACCAATCATAGTCGATTATTCTTCTCATATTCTACTGTGATTGGTTAATTTTCTACGACTTAAGACTCTACGACTGCTACGACTTCTATTGTAGACCCTGCTTAAGTTATGACACAGAGAATCACTACATCCTTGTTATTCACATCGAAGTACAGAATTAGAGATTGGAGTATGTTTATGTTTACGACACTTTAGCGGTCGGAACATGGCGGCGTAGGGAGTGATGGTAGGGATCCGGTCTGGTGGTGGAGGTTCGATGTCGCTTCTCTTTATATATGGGACTCTAGGAATGATGGTTGGGATCCGATCTGGTGGTGGGGGTTCGTTGTTGCTTCTCTCTATATATAAGACTCTAGTCATATCGACTATTATTTTGGTCACGTTCGCATGCGCTGTGGTCATGTGCGCATGCGTTTTAGTAACTACGCTAGAGATATCGAATGATTGTAGTGAACTTCGTATACGTAAATGCTATTTCGGAGAATTTTCTGCACGTTTAAAGAGAAATGTTATATAGATCTAAACTTTAATCCATATAAAAAAGTAATTTTTTTTTAATATCATAATTCACAATTACTCATTCACGATTATATTCTCTGCTTGACAAATAAATTGTCTGCTTTAAAAATAAATTCTCTGCAATTTTGTGTTTGTAAAACAGAGAATTTATTTTTAAAACAGACAATTTGTTTGTCAAGTGGAGAATTTCTTCGTACATGTCGCTGCATCTCGTCGATATGACGGATTTCTTAATATTCTCTATAGTCGTCAACTTCAACGCTTAATATCTCGGTTCGCGCGACCATCCTAACGTTTTTTCTTACAGATTCTTTCATTTTATACAAAAACGCATCGAATAAGCCTAATTTAATCAAAATTGGAGGTGATGACTGTATTCTAAATAATTACCTCAAAATTAAAGTTAATTACATTAGTGCAACTGTGCCTTTTGATGTCAGTGGTTTTAACCTAAAAAAGAATAGACTATTTGTTGAAATACTGCGTAAAACAGTAGAAGACACCTTACACATCTTCCAATCGGAGACAAAATTAAAAAAAAATACTACCTCATTATAAATATTATATTACTTGATACTTAAAAAAAATATAAATAAAAAATGGTAGTTACTTGCGTTATTGGTAACTGTAAAAGTTTATGGATAAGAGGCGACATTATTACTTTTCATTGGTAAATATAACTAAAATATATGTGTATATAGTTATTAAGTTAAAAAAATTTATAATTAAGGTATAGGAAATGTTATAAAAAATGTAAAATGTTAATTTTATCTTTTCATGTCTTTATTTTTAGTTTTCCTAAAGATAAAAGTTTACGCAAACAATGGATTTCAGCAATTCCATCTAATATTTTAAGGACTACAGATATTACCCAACATTCTAGATTATGTAGTAAACATTTTACAGCAGAATGTTTTACTGAATCTACTTCATTTAAATCTCTACGAAATATGTTAAATAAGAATGCTGTTCCAACAATATTTGAAGACCGCCAAGTGTCCCAGTATCAGTTAGTTGAATTAGTAAGTAAATCTTATAAATTTATCATGTTAAATCTATTTTAATGATAAGTTTGTGTAATATAAATTATTTACAAAAGAATTGAATTTTTATTAGGGAAAAGAGACCTTGCCAAATATATTAAACACCGAAGTTGATCCGCTAGACATTAGTAATGAAAATTATAAAATGGTAATTATATAATAAAGATTTATTATGCTATAAATTAAAATTAAATGTATAGTTATATTTTTAAAATGTAATTCTAGTATAATTTAATCATATAAAAAAATAATTATCTTATTATACAGGAAGAATCGAATTTGTCTTATGTTTTAAAAAGAGAAGTTGGTGTACAAACATTAAAACGGAACTTTGATGAATCAGAAAAAATTATACAGAGTTTGACAAAACGCTTGAAACAACGTGATGAAAAAATTAAGGACTTGGAGGAACGTCTGAAAAAGAAAGAAACTGAAGAAAAAAGTAATAGTATGAAAAAGATAAAAGAAGCTGTTAACAAATACATCTGCGAGGAAAGAAAAGAATTATTTTTGCATGAATTTGCGAATAATGAGACTGGTCCTAGTAAGAAAACTTATAGTGAATATATGAGGCAATTTGCCGCAGCTACATATCATCATAGTCCTAAAGTATATAAAATTTTAAAGAAACTGATTACTTTACCGACCGCTTATACTGCAGCTAGATGGTTGATAGATTATAGTCAAGATCCACAATTTATGGAAGACATAAAATGAATTATTCTTCAACTTTTCATATAATTTTAATTATAAAACACTTATTCATTTCATACACATAGTATTTCAATATCAAAATTATAACCGTAAATATGATATTACGATAATTATAACCGTAAATATGATATTGTGGTATAATTATAACCGTAAATATGATATTGTGATATAATAATTTAATTGTAATCGCGTGCAATTTCATTGTATTTTTTTTGTATATTAAAGTGTGATAATAAAAAATATCATTACTCGAATTAAATTTGTATATTTGTATCATATATGCAGTATCTAGCAATATCACACAGCATCAGCAGAGACGAATTTTTTTACTAACAGTATTAAATGTTAAGATGCAGCATACCTTCCTACAACTCAGGATATTCAGTTTCTTATTCATGAAATATAAATGTTTTCCTTAATAAAACCAATTTTATACCCACATAAACTTGTGTCTATAGGATATACATACAAATATAATTAATTGAAGACATAGAATGCAACCTGATATATAAATTTATTCATAGTTAAGAATAAGTTTAAAGTAAAAAAAATTATATTTACAAGAATGGAATATGCTCAAATATAAGACGTATAGAATAGTCGAGCATGTTTAAGCTAATTATTCCCAGTCTCTTTAACATTCTGCTTTGATTCAATCCAATCCTTTATAACATAATTATTTACACGATTGTATTTGTTATATATCTGTGATATCCAATACACTTTAATAAACTAAATCAAAATCTAGATATAAAAAAATATAACTATAAAATGTACTCAGTTTAATCCAAGCCTTCTTTCTTCTCTTTTATCGCTTCCTTAAAAAAAAAGTACTTTCAGTTATACATATATATATCTATACATATACTAACTTTACATCTTGTATACGAGTATACCTTAAAACGTTCTTCGAACAACGAGAGTTCTGCGATCAAATCGGTGATGGCATGCATGAATGCTTCATGTGGAGTATAATCAGAAGTTGTTTGTATTCTAATGACAAACTTGTGTTCCAGGGGATGAGGAACTTTGTAGCCAGCGAATAATACTTGAGGATCCTTCAGTAACTGACTGAAGAATCGAAAGAAATTCACAAAATTAGCTAGCTACCTAAAAAGGAACCGAAGCAACAACACGCTCATACGTTTACTCACTTGCGGATCATGTTTCCCAATGTGTGATCCTCCTTGTTAATCGTAAAGATCGCAGCATTTGGTACTTTGGTGTCCTGTTCCTTTATAATCCTACAAAAAGCGCAAATATTAACGTATTTCTAGAACCTAAATCGAGGTTAGATCCCGATAAGTATCGAAGATCGGCATACTTTTTCTCTCCCTCGTATAATAAGAATGACTCGAAGGTCGGAGGTGCGTTCATCTCGCTTCGTCAATTATTAACAATACTCCTGAATTAATTGCTATTGAAATATCGATAATAAATCACCGGTTGACAAATTGTCGTAACCGTAATCACTATTGATGACCATCGTCTGTCGTGCTACAGCGTCACTGCGAGTCGACAATCGATTGCGACAAATCGATACGACGATTCGATAGCAGACAATTTGCCATGACGTCATTCGAACGAGTTCAAATATTTGTCAATGGCTTCGTCTCTTATCGATGTTTCTGATACTCTAATATAATCGAAAAAGGCAAAAGGAACCGTGATAAGAACGGTAAGGGTAATAGTAAACGTAATATCTTACAGTTATTTCTTACAAGTTTACTTATTCAACAATAATAACAACGTATGTTTTTATCAAGGAAAACTTGTTTCAATTTTCTAGGAAGAGTGGAATATACCATGTGCCTATTATTGAGACAAAGAGGTGGAAAAGAGGGGGGAGAGAGAGAGAGAGAGAGAGAGAAAGATGAATGAATAATAAAGAATAAAAGAGTGAGAGGAGAGGGAGAGAAAGAGAGAGAGGAAACCTCGTATTATGTCATTTCAAAGAAACCACGCGTTTTCTCTCTCTTTCTTAAGTTCGAACGTGTACAGATTTCGTTGTCTCTCTCTTTCGAGCATTGGACGCGCATGAATAATATCGCGGGATTGGACCCGACTCGGTCGCGTCATCAGTCGTCCGGACGGTCTCCGGGTGCCGCGGGATTAATCGCTGCTTACACCTTCGCACGACAGGAGCGTTGCGAGCGCTCGTTTTTATCCGCCTTTTACAATTCCCACGCCGCGCCCACCGAAACGAAACGAAACGTAACGAAAGCCAAGGCGAAGGGCGAAAGCGCGGGTCGCGGGGCGCGGATAAGGGATAGCTGTGGCTGGTGGAAGGTGGAAGAGCGAAGCAGGCGAGGACTGAAGAGCGCGGCGGCGTCAGTGACGCGGCGTCGTTGCGCGTCGCTCTCTCGGCGAGAGTCTATCGCGCGGGGAGCGTAGAAGGAGCGTTTTGCCGTGCCACACTACTCCCGACAGTCCCGACTCCGGGACGCAAAGTAGTTGTCAAAATGGCGGCGTGCGAGGGCTCCGCGAGCGTGAATCCTAATTGCGAGGTGGTGCGCGGGCAAACGTTCGAGGTCGGGCCGCGCTACACGAATCTGTCATACATGGGCGAGGGCGCCTACGGCATGG